CTTCAGTCGGCAAAGCACTCCGCTCTTCTGCACCTTCGGTTTCTTGTCGAACAGACGCCCCTCGGGCGAGGAATAGTCCGAGCTCGTCACTATTCCACTGGCATCCGTGCTCAGTTCTTGCAAATAATCAAATTCCGCCAGCGCACTTTGTTCCCTTCGGCCGAAATGTCGGAACGTAGCTTGCCGTACTACTCGCCGTGGAGGAATGAAACGTACATTGTCGCCGCGCCGTCGCAGCTGTTTCGACCACAGTTCAATTGTTGTTGCATCGTCGTCTGACGAAAAACTAGTGCCATCCTGTAACAGTATTTGCCGCTGCAGAAGAAAAGGCACAACTGGCTGCGTGTGTCTGTATGTGCGCTCGCCGATTCTGCTTGGATTACACCAAAAAACAAAACAGCAAAACGGACTAGCGGCATTTTTTTTACCCTGGTGTGCATTAATTACTGAATAAAAAAAAAACTAACCAAACTTTCTGCAAGCAATTCGCCACGAGTGGGTAAGTGCTGCCGAGGCGCTAAGCATTCCTGTGAGCTGTTTTCCGCCTCAATCGCTGCAATCATGGAAGGCAATTCGCTGTCCGAATAGGAGCGCTTCAACGGACTACGAGGCGATCTGATGGTACATTTAGCAATGTCATCCAAACAATCATGCTGAAAATCCACTGACTAACAAAGAACTGGGCAGATTTTTAGAGAAGAACAGTCGACAGGGGGACCGGAGAAAGCAGCAAAAAAAGGGATAGTTTAACGCTTGGTGCAGGCGAAAAGCATAAAAAATAATGTGGCAGAATGTGTAGCAGCGCAAAAGCAAAAATTTTGGCAAAGAATAGCAGGATAGATGCAAAACCGGGAAAAAAGTATTAAGAAGAGGCGCAGCATTCCAAGATCACAAATGAAAGGAAAGAATGCCAAGGCAGAAATGAAGTAGCGGAATTCCTGAAAACTTTTCTCACTGTATACCATAAAACATAAAGCAAAAAAAAACTATCAACTAAAAAATAGATCAGTGACCATTAACATTAGGAACTTAAAAATAAAACGCACCTCGAAAACGGTTCGCGATGATCTCGGTGAGGCTGCCGTCGTACGTACGCTACATTTTCGTAAACAAAAACTTTTCACTTCATCCGGCACATCGCTGGCATTTGATACAAAAGAGCCGTCGTAAAGATTTGCATTTGAGTGTGTGAGAGCGCATAATGCTTCGCCGGCGCCGACGATCGTCGAGCCGCACGACGGACAGCTTACACTTCCGACACGCTCCACTTCCCGATAGTGTGTATTCTTTAGCTGATTTTGCAGGCCAATCTAAAAAAAAAAAACTCTCAGTTTTCAGAGGAGATCATACAGAAATGAATGGCCACAAACTCTGAAATTGATCTATCAATTTTCGAAATTCTTCCTTTCCTTTCTATCTCCCCTCTCTCCCTCCATCTTTCCCTCCCTGTCACTTTTTAAAGTCTTCCATAGCATCGAATTTCCTAAATGAATTCCTTTTTAATATAAAACCGAGCAATAATAAATTAATAATATGAAGCACCAAGAGCAGTCCCAACCCTTGAAAACATTAGATATCCCGAACTAAGCAAAATCAGATGGCTCTCAGTGAAGTGAACCGTATCACAGCTCCATAACCATAAATCAAAAAAAAAGTTGGACAATCTCACATTTTTTTGGATTTTTTTTAAAACACTCAGAGTCAAATTTACAAGTCGCAGGTTGCATTGGTGTATTAAGTATTAATTTTTCACAATGATTATATCCGATTCGTGAAGATGCTTGCGTAAACTGAGATTCTTTCGCCGCTCATGATCGATTCCCTTCTGAAGATGCATCATTGCTCGG